GCATTCCCTTTGAAAACTGGCACAAGACAGAGATGTCCTCTCTCACCACTCCTATTCAACATAGTGTTGGAAGTTCTGGCCAGGGCAATCAGGCAGGAGAAAGAAACAAAGGGTATTCATTAGGAAAAGAGGATGTCAAACCATCTCTATTTGCAGATGACATGATTGTATATTTAGAAAACCCCATCGTCTCAGCCCAAAATCTCTTAAGCAACTTCGGCAGTCTCAGGATACAAAATCAGTGTGCAAAAATCACAAGCATTCTTATACACCAATAAAAGACAAACACAGAGCCAAATCATGAGTGAACTCCCATTCACAATTGCTTCAAAGAGAATAAAATACCTAGGAATTCAACTTGCAAGGGATGTGAAGGACCTCTTCAAGGAGAACTACAAACCACTGCACAACGAAATAAAAGAGGACACAAACAAATGGAAGAACATTCCATGTTCATGGACAGGAAAAATCAGTATCATGAAAATGGCCATACTGCCCAAGGTAATTTATAGATTCAATGCCATCCCCATCAAGCTACCAATGACTTTCTTCACAGAATTGGAAAAAAACTACTTTAAAGTTCATATGGAACCAAAAAAGAGCCTGCATTGCCAAGACAATCCTAAGCCAAAAGAACAAAGCTGGAGGCACCATGCTACCTGACTTCAAACTATACTACAAAGCTACAGTAACCAAAACAGCATGGTACTGGTACCAAAACAGAAGTATAGACCAATGAAACAGAACAGAGCCCTCAGAAATAATACCACACATCTACAACCATCTGATCTTAGACAAACCTGACAAAAACAAGAAATGGAGACAGGATTCTCTATTTCATAAATGGTGCTGGAAAAACTGGCTCACCATATGTAGAAAGCTGAAACTGGATCCCTTCCTTACACCTTATACAAAAATTAATTCAAGATGGATTAAAGACTTAAATGTTAGACCTAAAACCATAAAAACCCTAGAAGAAAACCTAGGCAATACCATTCAGGACATAGGCATGGGCAAGGACTTCATGACTAAAACACCAAAAGCAATGGCAACAAAAGCCAAAATTGACAAATGGGATCTAATTAGACTAAAGAGCTTCTGCACAGCAAAAGAAACTCCCATCAGAGTGAACAGGCAACCTACAGAATAGGAGAAAAATTTTCCAATCTACTCATCTGACAAAGGGCTAATATCCAGAATCTACAAAGAACTTAAACAAATTTACAAGAAAAAAACAACCCCATCAAAAAGTGGGCAAAGGATATGAACAGACACTTCTCAAAAGAAGACATTTATGCAGCCAACAGACGCATGAAAAAATGCTCAACATCACTGGCCATCAGAGAAATGCAAATCAAAACCACAATGAGATACCATCTCACACCAGTTAGAATGGAGATCATTAAAAAGTCAGGAAACAACAGGTGCTGGAGAGGATGTGGAGAAATAGGAACACTTTTACTCTGTTGGTGGGACTGTAAACTAGTTCAACCATTGTGGAAGACAGTGTGGCGATTCCTCAAGGATCTAGAATTAGAAATACCATTTGACCCAGCCATCCCATTATTGGGTATATACCAAAAGGATTATAAATCATGCTGCTATAAAGACACATGCATGCGCATGTTTATTGCGGCACTATTCACAATAGCAAAGACTTGGAACCAACCCAAATGTCCATCAGTGATAGACTGGATTAGAAAATGTGGCACATATATACCATGGAATACTATGCAGCCATAAAAAAGGATGAGTTTGTGTCCTTTGTAGGGACACGGATGCAGCTGGAAACCATCATTCTCAGCAAACTATCACAAGAATAGAAAACCAAACACCGCATGTTCTCACTCATAGGTGGGAATTGAATAATGAGATCACTTGGACACAGGAAGGGGAACATCACACACCAGGACCTGTCATGGAGTAGGGGAGTGGGGAGGGATAGCATTAGGACATATACCTAATGTAAATGACGAGTTAATGGGTGCAGCACACCAACATGGCACATGTATACATACGTAACACACCTTCATGTTGTGCACATGTACCCTAGAACTTCAAGTATAATAAAAAAAAAAAAAAAAGAAATGCTTCAAGATGCTGTCAACATATTTTAGTGTAAAACTAATACCCCAAAAGAATTACAAATAAGAAATGGATAATAAAAAACAATAAACATTTATGGATCATCTGTGATATGCCGATCACTGCAGTGGGCTGCAAAACATGCCAAAAAAAAAAAAAAAAAAAAAAACAGATTATACCTAAATAACATCCAGATTTTACAATAAAAGACTTTTAAATAACAATCTAAAATCATATATATGCCTTTGAAATGTATAATTTTTTCTTTACAATCAATTGACTTCACTGTGTTCTGCTTAGGCTGAAATTAAAATTCGTTTTTCTAAAGCCCCCCAAATCCTGACAACATGAGGAAACACTATGACTTGTAAAGACAAAGTCAAACAACTTACAAATAGGTAATATTATATACATTATTGATTATCCTAATATATACATTATGTGTTACAAGTGTATATTATAATGTATTATCTACACGGTGATAGTAATTTAAAGTGAGTCTTTTTTTCTCCACTGTTTTAACCACTAACAACAACAAAAGCACTGAGCTAAAAAAATTTTTAATTAAAAATTTAAAAGCATTTTAGTTGCATTTCATTTAATATTAATACATTTGGATGAGTCAGGTAATATTACGCTAATATTATATATATTACGTATTACATGTGTATATTGCAATGTATTATCTGCATGGTAGATGGTAATTTAAAGTGAGCCTTTTTTTCTCCACTGTTTTAACCACTAACAACAAGAAAAAAGCACTAAGCTAAAAAAAAGAATTTTTAGTTAAAAATTCAAAAGAATTTTAGTTGCATTTCATTTCATATTAACACATTTGGGTGAGTCAGTCAGCTAATAATGAGTAGTAACACAAAAATTACACTGAGCCAAAGTCTTACTGCTATCAGAAAAGTCACAAAGAATCTTTACCTCATGACTCCCACTCTCCTCACTTAGCCCATAACTAAATTTAAACCATTCCTGTAAGAACTGTTCTTTGAGAAGTGGAAAGAATATTTCATGCATAGCATTAAAGAAAATGAGCTTCTGGATAAAAACACACAGAAGACGGAGAAAAATAAGGGCTGCTTATAATATCACACTGCTAACTATAAATTCCAATTTCCTAATTCTCTCAGGCCATAGTTATTCTTCTAGTTTTGGAAGAGAGGAGATAGGCAATTCTTCTAATTAAGCTCCCTCCCACTTGAAATTTCAGTCTTGTAAAGCTCACTCTGTTTTTATGCTAGCCTGAGAAATTTGCTGACAATGAAATTTCCACTTTAAATATTCAGCATGATTTTAAATGGGTTTCTTCAAATTACTCTTCAGTGGACCTTTAAAACCACAATTGGAGAGATAAAGGTAATTAGAAATAGCAATGTAAATGGAGTTCAATCTCTCAGATGTCCTCCAAAATGTAACATCCCCTGCTCTTACCCAGTTTCCCTTAGGATGTTAAACAGTTCAACCATTTATCATTACACATCACTCATTCCATTTGCACATCACAAGATATATCCCTGCCATTCCAATTAGTATCCTACTGTGTCACAGGAGATAGAATGTTAATCACAAGAGCTACAGCAGTTAAACTGAAATAGTGTACATGAAAAGGATATACAAAATGACAAATGGAGAGACTCTTTTCAAGTCTTGGCCAAGCCACTTAGTAGTAGTGTGACCTTGAGCAAGTCCCTTAACCTCCTCTCCTCATCTGTTGTGAAAACTGAATAATTACATGAGTGCACTTTATAAGCTGCAGGTACTATACCAATATAATGAGATACAATGATTATAGCTATATATGTAAGCTAAAAAAATCTTGACCCAGAATAACAATTGAGGTCTACATCAACCTAAAACACTCATTCTCCATGCATCCTAATAGAGCCATGTGTCCAAGAGAGGTCAAGCAACAATCCTTGGAAGAAATGCTGCTATCCTGGCCAGCGGGAGGTATCACAATCTCTCAGGTCATCATGTACCTATCTGTTAATTAGATAAGTTCTTTACGCAAATGTAAGCCTGATGGAGACACATTATAACCAAAAACACAATTAATGCCAGTGGGAAATACAGCAAAACTTCAAATTAAATTCTATTTATACTCTACCACAAAGTATAGTTACTTGTTCACTGGAAACATACCATTGATTACAAGGGCTAGTGGATGAAAGCATTAGGAAGATCCTGGGATCAGCCAAGAAATATAGTACAGGTACATTCAAATTCTTAAAGAAACTGAAACATACTTTCACTTATGCATACCGTTAATCACAACCAAAAGCTTACTTAAAAGAAGTGTAACAGTCTCATGAATTCAGTATTTTTTATATATTTTTTTTTGAGATGAAGTCTCGCTCTGTCGCCCAGGCTGGAGTGCAGTGGCGCAATCTCGGCTCACTGCAAGCTCCACCTCCCGGGTTTACGCCATTCTCCTGCCTCAGCCTCCCTACTAGCTGGGACTACAGGTGCCCGCCACCACACCCGGCTAGTTTTTTTTGTATTTTTTTAGTAGAGACGGGGTTTCAGCGTGTTAGCCAGGATGGTCTCAATCTCCTGACCTTGTGATCCGCCCGTCTCGGCCTCCCAAAGTGCTGGGATTACAAGTGTGAGCCACCGCGCCCGGCCTCAGTATTATATTTTTAAGCCTGGCAAGAAAAAAACTAAAAAGTATGTTAGAAGAGTTCTCTGTTGCTAAGATGAACAACTTGAGATATAAGAGGCAACATCTTACAAAGACTACAGAGATACAACAGTTGTAGGTTAATTCAAACGTCCATTAAGGTCTTCAGTCTTCAATAGTTTCTAGAATCCAAAACGCACATCCCTAGCAGAGTTAAAAAGATACTCAAAAATTTTAAAATAAATGTCAAGTAAATTATTTAATCCTCAAAAACCTCATTACTCACAGATAATGATCAGGATCAAACTTGGCCAGCTCAGCAGCCAGGCGCTTCTGTCTTCGTTCAGCTGCAGGGGTGAAATCTGGATTCTTAATATCAATAACATCATTCAATTCATCCTGAGGACACCCAGAAAAGAAATAATTGCTATCTCCTATTTTTAGCATTTAAAACTCAAATTTTATACAAAATGCCAAAGCACAGGAAGAACCTAACTGATCAGTAAACCATGATGCCACCTGTGACATTTAGATTCAAATCCAACAAATGTTTAAGCACCTACTACTTGGTAAGCCCTGTGAGATCTTTCTCATAACTTATCTCATTTAATCCTTACAACAAACAAGCTGACTGACAGATATTAAGGCTATAAAAGTTTAACATAAAAAACAGAATGGAATAAACCCCTACAAGCAAGCAGGAACACTTAATTCAACATCCATTTCCCCATTTACACCTAGATATTTGAAAGTTATTAACGTAGAGTGGCTTGATTTTCAGACATCTACACACAGTCTCTTCTTTCTTCCTATAGTCTAGCTCAGCTGGCCTAAAGAAGCATTACCATACAGACAATATCCCTTATACGAAATGCTTGGGATCACAGTGTTTTGGATCTTGAATATTTCTAAATTCTGGAATACCTGCATTATACCAGTTCATCAGGCCCATTCCAATAATCCCAAATGCGAAATGCTCCAAAGAGTATTTCCTTTGAGGGCCATGTTTGTGCTCAAAAAGTTTTACATTTTGGATCATTTCAGATTTCAGATCCTGTAAAAGACTACATACAAGCTGAGCATGATGGCTCACACCTGTAATCCAAGCACTTTGGGAGGCCAAGGCGGGTAGACTGCTTGAGTCCAGGAATTCGAACTACCCTGGGCAACACAGCGAAACCCCATCTCTCAAAAAATACAAAAATTAGCCAGGCCTGGTGGCTCACGCTGGTAGTCCCAGTTACTCGAGAGGTGGAGGTGGGAGGATGGCTTGAGCCCAGGAGATGGAGGCTGCAGTGAGCCAAGATCATGGCACTGCACTCCAGCCTGTGCAACAGAGCCAGACTCTATGAGAGAGAGAGAGAAAGAGAGAGAGAGAGATTATAGGCTCATGCCTATAATCCCAGCACTCTGGGAGGCCAAGGCAAGCGGATCACGAGGTCAGAAGATCGAGACCATCCTGGCTAACATGGTGAAACCTCGTCTCTACTAAAAATACCAAAAATTAGCCGGGCATGGTGGCAGGTGCCTGTAGTCCCAGTTACACGGGAGGCTGAAGCAGGAGAATGGCATAAACCCAGGAGGCGGAGCTTGCAGTGAGCCAACATCATGCCACTGCACTCCAGCCTGGGCGACAAAGCGAGACTCCGTCTCAAAAAATAAAATAAAATAAAATAAAGCAGCTCTTTTCCTCTCTCCTCTTCCCCCTGGCCTCCAGATTCAGGGCCTCCACATACAGTCATGCAACATGTACACAGCAGAACGTGAGTGTTCTATGGCAGTGCAAGCCCCACCCAGGCTTGTTCTATGCACAGTCACATGCAGCAGCCCTGTTCAAACTGGACCCTAAAAAGAAACAGAAACAAACTAAAAGCCAAGGTAGCTTGGGGTTTAGAAGTAGAAGGCATCAATCAACCAAACGGAAGAAAGAGGATAAGAAGTGTTCAACTACAGCAGGAAAAAAAGGTTCCTTTTTCTCTTTTTTTTTTTTTTTTTTTTGTGAGACAGAGTCTCGCTCTGCCGCCCAGGCTGGAGTGCAGTGGCGTGATCTTGGCTCACTGCAAGCTCCGCCTCCCGGGTTCACGCCATTCTCCTGCCTCAGCCTCCCGAGTAGCTGGGACTACAGGCGCCCGCCACCTCGCCCGGCTAGTTTTTTTGTATTTTTTAGTAGAGACGGGGTTTCACCGTGTCAGCCAGGATGGTCTCGATCTCCTGACCTCATGATCCGCCCGTCTCGGCCTCCCAAAGTGCTGGGATTACAGGCTTGAGCCACCGCGCCCGGCCCCTTTTTCTTTTAAACAACTGCTACGGCCACTAGTTACTAGCTATTTAAAGATAGATATTGTCAAAAAAAGGTCATGTAGGATTTAAATTAGGCTTACAGAAGTTTACGCATAGGTTAGGCAGAGACAATCCAGAGAGAAAATAAAGAACAGTGAACACATCTGGCTAGTGGGTCTCCTGGAAACAATGGCCTCAGGTCCCCGTGTAGCCAAAAGGACAGGGCCAGCAAGCCTGGCGTCCTGAGGCGCTGGCAGCAGCAGTCCCAGGAGCTTGCTGGGTTGGCGCCCAAAGACTCTAGGATTGTTGCTGCTGGCAGCCACCACTGCCAGAAGCTTGTTGTGAAGTCCTGACTTTGAGCAGCCAGGGCAGTTTTCCAAAGGCACCCTGGTGGCTGGCAGCAATTTCAGAAAGGAAAAAAAGACTAGGACTGGGGAGCGTATATCTCTGTGTATGGGGAGTAGAGGGAGGAATGTTCAGAGAATTTGTTTCAGCAAAAATATTTTATTTTCTTATTATCAGTATAAAATATAGAAGTTTACAAGCAAATCCTGTCTAAAAAGTTGGAGGCAGGCCAGGTGCGGTGGCTCACACCTGTAATCCCAGCATTTTGGGAGGCCGAGGTGGGTGGATCACGAGGTCAGGAGATCGAGACCATCCTAGCTAACACGGTGAAACCCTGTCTCTACTAAAAATTACCAAAATATTAGCCAGGCATGGTGGTGGGAATCTGTAATCCCAGCTACTGAGGAGGCTGAGGCAGGAGAATGGTGTGAACCCAGGAGGCGGAGCTTGCAGTGAGCTGAGATTGCGCCACTGCACTCCAGCCTGGGCGACAGAGCAAGACTCCGTCTCAGGGGAAAAAAAAAAAAGTTGGAGGCAAAAAATGTGAAAGACTTCTGTAAAGGGCTAAATTATTCAATGAAGAAAAGATCCCTGAGTTGAAATTATGAATTTTTTTACTTTCTTCTTTGTATTATATTTTTATAATAAATCTGTATTGCTCTTATTCTTAGAAACAAAAAAAGCCATTTTTCATCTATGGAGGGAGGAAAAAGCTGTAAAAATACTGATATGAATAGTTAATGAAGCTGTATGGACATCTCTTCATCTACAGGCAGAACTAGAAAAAATAAACTTGTACGAAAATAGTATTTGAGAAAATGGTGAAGTTTTCAAAATAATTTTAAATTAGAAGAGATGTTCTAAAATATCTTATTTGTGATCATCATTTCAGTTTCTTCTAGCTGCTTTACTCACAGAAATAGGGTCACATTATTAACCTCACATGATCACTCAGTTTTGAACCACTTGTTACAGCTGCCATAAACAGAGCAGCTGTGAATGCAGACAAACTCTACAAGTAATTAACCAATTATGCAAGATTTCTGTGGCAATATTTCATAAAACATATCCACCTTAATACCTTCAAGAGGATACATTTGAATTTTTGGAATCTTGGGTTTACACTTGATTTCTGAAAAAGTCTGGTTGCTGCACACAAAGCACTCAGCACAGTGCTATCCAAATCCCCTGGAGCAAGGTGAGCTTCAGGATTCACTCAGAGTTTGGAAAGGTAACATGGCGCGCACACCATATTTTACGTAATACCCTCTAAGATGTCTGGGGCAGCGCCCATATCCAAACACTACTTCTACAAGGAAGTTTTGAATATGTACACTAAGTGGGATTTAAAAACCTGTATCATTTCAGGTTAAGTTTTGCCATCAAATTAAATATTTTAAAACTTTTAGTTTTCAGAACTTTGTGTGATCCCAGCATTCCACATATGGGGTTATAAACCTATACTACAAGTAGTATACTATTCACTTGATAAAACCCTTAGAGTTTTCCCAGATGCTCAGCCGTTTTTCCCCTACATTAGGGAATATGCATTCAAATTGTTTAGAAAAACAATGCTCATGCAGTTAAAATTTGAAGAAGAGTTTAATGATTTTAGACAATTAAGCCATTTTAAACGCTTAGAATAATAAACATTACATTCAGTGGTTCATTTCCTTTTTTTTCCTTTTTTTTTCCCCCTGAGATTTAGTCTCACTCTGTCACCCAGACTGGATGGAGTTCAGTGGCGCAATCTCGGCTCACTGCAACCTCTATCTCCTGGGTTCAAGCGATTCTCCTGCCAGCCTCCCAAATAGCTGGGATTATAGGCGTGCGCCACCATGCTCAGCCGATTTTTGTATTTTTAAGTAGAGACAGGGTTTCACCATGTTGGCTAGACTGGTCTCGAACTCCTGACCCGCCCGCCTCACCCTCCCAAATTGCTGGGATTACAGGCATGAGCCACCACGTGCAGCCACAGTGGTTTATTTCTGATGGGAAATAAGAGGGATGTAAACAAAAAGGGATTAGACAGGAGTGAACTATATTGGTTAATATTTAATGTTTTTAACCTAAGTAATAAATATCCAGGTATTTGACACATTAGTTAAGACATCCAAAAAGACAGAAAGTATAGCAGCTTTAAAAAAAAAAAAATTAAATTATTTATTAAGTGAACATTTTCAAGATACAAGAATCTCTGACCTAAAAGGGACTCGTTCTAGGTTCACATTATGGCATTCCTGCAACATCTCAGCAACGTGTCAGAAATCCTTCAAAAGGATTTTCCGTAAATAGCAGCAACAATTAAGTAACAAACCCCTGACCTCAAGAAGCACTTCTAATCTAAATGTAAAATCTGTACTTAGCCGTGTGACATTTATTATCATTCATGTATAGCGTTAGATTGGCAAGCCCCAAACAGCCTGACCACAAACTATCTCTTGGCCAAACAATTGAGGTCCATTCACTGTAGTTCCTGCTACAGACAAAACTGACTATTCTAATTACCTCTGAGATCACCAGCGATTGTGATCAAGCAGAGAATATGGACAGACTACAACTCAGCAGAAAAACACCTAAGTTTTTAGAAGGAAGGCTATTTTATCAGCATTATTTGCTCCTAAGTAAATCTCAATTTTGTTCCCTTTAAGGAATTTTGAGAGCATTTTATATTTTTCAAGGGCAGGAGTCTTTACAGCATTCTACACTTTCCAAAGACTTTTCACATACATTCTCTTCTTAAATTTTCAAGACAGCCTTATAAAGTAGGTGGGCAAATTTATCCCCACTTTCCAAAAGAGGAGACAAAACTTACTTGTGGTCAAATAACTGGCCTGGTATCCCAAATCTAAACATAGGCAGAAGCAGGACTAGAACCTGGGTCTTTTCCCTCTCCTTGGTAAATTCAAATATGTCTTAAGATAATAAACCACATTCTAAACAGGTTTTGTTTTGTTTTGTTTTTTGAGACAGAGTCTCGCTCTGTCGCCAAGGCTGGAATGCAGTGGCGCGATCTCAGCTCACTGCAACCTCCGCCTCCTGGGTTCAAGGGATCTTCCTGCCTCAGCCTCCCGAGTAGCCTGATCTACAGGCAGGTGCCACCATGCCTGGCTAATTTTTTGTATTTTAATAGAGACGGGGTTTCACCATGTTAGCCAGGATGGTCTCGATCTCCTGACCTCATGATCCGCCCGCCTCGGCCTCCCAAACTGCTGGGATTACACGCACCACCACATCCGGCTAATTTGGCCAACATGGCAAAACTCCGTCTCTACTAAAAATAGAAAAATTAGCCAGGCGTGGTGATGGGCACCTGTAATCCCAGCTGCTTGGGAGGCTGAGGCCGGAGAATTGCTTGGACCCAGGAGGCAGAGGTCGCAGTGAGCCAAGATCATGCCACATGCACTCCAGCAAAGTGAGACTCTGTCTTAAAAAAAAAAAAAAAGAATAAATAAACAATGGGCTGGGCACAGTGGCTCATGCCTGTAATCCCAGAACTTTGAGAGGCCAAGGCAGGCAAATTGCTCAAGTTTGAGACCATCCTGGCCAACATGGTAAAACTCCATCTTTGCTAAAAATACAAAAAACTAGCTGGGCGTGGTGGTGGGCACCTGTAATCCCAGCTACTCAGGAGGCTGAGGCAGGAGAATTGCTTGAACCTGAGAGGCACAGGTTGCCATCAGCCGAGATCGCGCCACTGCACTGCACTCCAGCCTTGGCGACAGGGTAAGACTCCGTCTCAAAAAAAAAAAAAGAATAAATAGACAATGGTGCGTACTACACACCAAGAATTAGACAATTTGATCAAAACACATAATCTCACTCTCGCCAGGAACATTCTATTTCATGTATATACAGAAAAGAAGACACATCGTGCCGTAAGTACATGATCACATTTTTCAGAACTATAAAACATAAAGCTTTGCAGGAAGTATGAGAGAAGAGTTCTGCTTCGCACTTTGGAAACTTCATGTCTAGAATACTGAATAAAGGGGAGAAAAAAGAAAGCCACGGGGCGTCTGTAAGAGCAGTACAGTTAGGCAGAACAGCCAATGATATGGAAGGGAATGAACATCTATGTACTTTAGCTATGCTAAGTGCTTAAATACAATCACCTCCTGTAGTATTACTTTTAAAAAACTACTGAGTATAAGCATAACTGAAATTAAAATATCCAAATGGAAAAATCCTATAGATCAAGATCTTTCAGAAAGACAACATACCTGTAACCGCTGAAACACTCCTGATCTTAAGTTTCCAAATCCATAGTGGCACTGCGGATTCAAAGCACTTTCTGATACCTCTTCATAGGGTGTCTGCTCAATTTCCCAATCAAATTCTTCATCGTCAACTACTTCCTCAGGAATCTCAGAAGCATCTGAATGTGTTAAATTTTAATTTAATTTTTTTAAAGTATTGGACTTAAGCACAACTAGGGGAAGAAAAAGTATAGGAAAAAATGCCCACACAGATGTACCAAAAGACACGTACAAGAATATTCATAGCTCCGCTATTCATGATAGCAAAAAAAAAAAAAAAAGAACCAAAAATGTGGTATATTCATACAATGGAATATTACATAGCAATGAAAGCAAATGAATCTCAGCTAGAATATGAATAAATCTCACAAAAATAATGTTAAGTGAAAGCAGCCAGACAAAAACAACACATACTGTATGACCTATATATGCAACACAGTAACAGGCAAAACAGAGAATAGTGGTTACCCTGGAGAGAGCACAAAGTAATGGAAGAATACAGGATGGGGTTCCGGGGTGTTGGAAATGCTCTATTTCTTGACAGAGGTGGTGTTCACTTTACATCGGTGGTCCCCAAACTTTTTGGCACCAAAGACTGGATTTGTGGAAGACAACTTTTCCACAGATCAAAGGGGTAAAGAGATAGTTTTGGGGGATGAAACTGTTCCATCTCAGATCATCAGGCTTTAGATTCTCATAGGGAGAACGCAACCTACACCGTTCGCAGGCACAGTTCACAGTAAGTTCATGCTCCTATGAGAATCTAATCTGATCTGACAGGAGCCAGAGCTCAGGCAGTAATACTCCCGGCCCTCCGCTCACCTCCTGTTGTGCATCCAGGTTCCTAACAGGCCATGGATCAGTACTGGTCTGCAACCTGAGGGTTGGGGACCCCTGTTTTACGTAACTCACTGAACTGTATACTTCTGATGTTAGCTCAAGATGCTAATATTTTGCCAACCACAAAATGCTGCTTCAATTGGTCCAAAAATGTGAGAGATCTGGTTCAACAGGATTTTTAATGTCTTAATTATATCACCAAAGAAGCTATTTTCATATGGTTTCACATGAGCACCTTATACCTGAAGTATTTTCTTCAATTTCCCATTCACTATATCCCATTTCCCCTACAAATACACAGCATTCCAAATATTTCTATCTATCTTAATTTCCTCCCAACTGCAATAAACATACCTATTTCTTCCACAAGTGGTTTTGCTGTCCTGGATTTTCTTGGTGCCAGAAGAGCAGTTAACATGTTCAGCCCCTCAAAATGCTGGCCAGGAGTTTCTTTGGGCAGGCGAATGGTAAAAATTCCTTAAAGATAAATTTGTTTTACGCTTAGATTAAAATATTCAAAAAGCTGGACACAATAGCTCACACCAGTAATCCCAATACTCTGGCAGGCTGAGGCAGGAGGATCATTTTAGCCCAGGAGTTCAAGAACACCCTGGGCAACATATCAAGACCCCATCTCTACAGAAAATAATAAAAAAAATTTTTAATTAAAAGTAAAAAATAGGCCGGGCGCGGTGGCTCAAGCCTGTAATCCCAGCACTTTGGGAGGCCGAGGCGGGCGGATCACGAGGTCAGGAGATCGAGACCATCCTGGCTAACACGGTGAAACCCCGTCTCTACTAAAAATACAAAAAACTAGCCGGGCGCGGTGGCGGGCGCCTGTAGTCCCAGCTACTCGGGAGGCTGAGGCAGGAGAATGGCGTAAACCCGGGAGGCGGAGCTTGCAGTGAGCTGAGATCCGGCCACTGCACTCCAGAGCAAGACTCCGTCTCAAAAAAAAAAAACAAAAAAACAAAAAAAAAAAAAAACAAAAAAAGTAAAAAATAAATAAAATAGTCAAAGACTTCATAAATATATCTAAGAAATATATGCCTTGGTAAAATACAATTCTATTTTACAGAGCTCTAAAACTATGTCCTCATAGATTTGGTGAATACAAGTCAAGATAGAAAAAGGTTCTTAACAAGAGTTTTTCAGAAGCTGTCATTTCTATAAAAAATTATTAATCTGGCTGGGTGCAGTGGCTCATGCCTGTAATCCCAGCACTTTGGGAGCCTGAGGTGGGCGGATCACGAGGTCAAGAGATCGAGACCATCCTGGCCAACATGGTGAAACCCCATCTCTATTAAAAAATACAAAAATTAGCTGGGCGTCGTGGCAGACGCACCTGTAGTCCCAGCTACTCAAGAGGCGGAGGCAGGAGAATCGCTTGAACCCAGGAGGAAGAGGTTGCTGTGAGCCGAGATCATGCCACTGCACTCCAGCCTGGGCAACAGAGCGAGATTTCATCTCAAAAAAAAAAATATATATATATATACATATATCTTAATCTGTTAAAGCTATAGAATACTTTAATCTTATACAGTATGACCTTCACCTACTGATAATATTAAAAATCTGAGTTAAAACTTCTAAAAATCAATGGCCTAAGAAGGTAATAGCTTAGAATTAACCAGGAGTTACTAATTAGACTTCTGGAAAAGGAGGAAAAAATCCAAATACCTAATCCAATGGAGAATGGCAGCAGTTTTAAAAATACACAGAATCTTAGATACAATAACTATGGCTTAATAAGGTTTTTGGGCACGTCAGGAGATCTATCCCTAAAGTCTATGGCAGACTCAAATTCTATGTACTTCTTTTCTTTCCTTGACTGAGTTTATCAATCTTATTTAGGCTTCCCTGGGAACTTACTACATTATTGAGCACTCTTATATTTTAAAACATTTTGCCTCTTTCAGTGTACTGAACTGAATTTCAACATATCAAATACAACTCAGCCCAAATATGTCCGCATATACAATCTTCCTTAACTCCTGTGTACTTTTAAAATTTAATAATTTTGTTTCAATATGCAACTTACCTATAACTAAAAGCCAGTTTACTATCTAGGAAGGCAGTTTCACTATACTTCATTACACATTAATTATACTGCATTATGGGTTAGATTTCTGTCATTTAACCCACCTTAGTCCAGTTCAGTAAGGTCAATAAATATTCATTGAATAAAGTACACAAGAGTACACAAGGTGTTCTAAATCCAATGACAAAGGAAGCCAGTGGCTTCTATAAAGGAAAAATAAATGGGTTCATGGCTAGCTGAAATGAAGGGCTCATCAATCACGAGGAGAAAATTCAATTAGCCTTTAAATGCCACCCATGCATAGTTTCTCTCTCACCTATCTGTTATTAAAATTCAAGTGTGAAAATTATACAAGAAAGATTCCATTCATAAGCTCATAAGTCATCCACATTTTTTATGATCAATCATTTCATGTTCTAATTTTTACTTTTAAATGTCTACTAAATGTAGGGAAAGTACTCTAGGAAACAGAACCAGAGCATTTAACTTTACTTTGAAGAATATTGTGAAATACTTTAAAAGACTTGCGGGGGACAAAAACATCAATAACAGGCACTAGACACTAAGAAGCAAGAAAGAGTGATCAGAACAGATTGTACTTGAAAGATATTGAAAGGTCCCCATGGTACCTTGAAAGATTATTATGTAAATAATGTGAAAAATCCCAAGAAATAAACTAACAAAAATTCCGAAGACGATACCTTTATCTGCATCATAGGACCCTTGCTCGCTTCCATTTTCTACTATTCTTCCAGGAAGGGTTAATCTGCAGATTTAACACAGGTCTCATGAAGTCCTTAAATTATAACATAAGTGGCCATCAATACTTGTAAACATTTAACCATCAAAATAATCATTTTTTTAAAAAGTTCCTCAGTATTACTTTCACATTTTAATAAACTAAATAAGTTAGATTCGAAATAAGTTAGATTCTTTCCCCAACTAAGAAAGCAGAAATCAGAGATGACTCATCTTTCTATTTGAATACCCTTAGTCACCAATAAAATAGATACTGAAAAAGAAAAGCCATAATAAATAATAGTTATCACTACTGTTAAAATACAAGTTGAGTATCCCTAACCTGAAAATCTGAAATGCTCGAAAATCTGAAACTTTTTGAGCACCAACATGACACCACAAAGTGGAAAACTCCACACTTGACCTCACATGATGAGTCACAGTCAAAAAGCAGTCAAAATTTGGTTGCATACACAAAATTAATAAAGGTATTATATAAACCTACCTTCTGGCTATGTGTATAAGGTATATATAAAACAAATAAATTTCGTGTTTAAACTTGAGTTCCATTCCCAAGATATCTCATTATGTATGCACAAATATTCCAAAACTCTAGAAAATCTGAAATTTCAGATAAGGGACACTCAATCTGTACAGACAAGGGATACTCAATGGGAAACAATAAAGAAACATAAAACCAATTGCTTTTATCAAGCAAATTACTACTTTAAAAAAAAAGCAGAAAGCAAAAGTGTCAAATCTCATCATTATTATGTGGGGATTTACCCATCTTTAGTACTAAAAGAAAGGAAGTCATTGGCTGGGTGCAGTGGCTCACGCCTGTAATCCTAGCACTTTGGGAGGCCAAGGCAGGTGGATCACCTTAGGTCAGGAGTTCAAGACCAGTCTGGCCAACATGGAGAAACCCCATCTCTACTAAAAATACAAAAATTAGCCGGGCGTGGTGGTGCATGCCTGTAGCCCCAGCTATTCAGGAGGCTGAGGCAGAAGAATCACTTGAACCCAGCAGGCGGAGGTTGCGGTGAGCCAAGATCACGCCACTGCACTCCAGCCTGGGCGAGAGTAAGATTCTGTGTCAAAAGAAAAAAAAAGAAAGAAAAAAGAAATGAAGTGATTTCCCAGCTTCCAGTTTTACCCTAGTTCAATCAGTCTTCCACTGAGGCCCCAAAAGAATTTTTCTAAAACAGGAATCTAATTGTCACTTTTCTATTTTAAAAAACGTCTATGGCTGCCTGATATTGCCTAGATAATTTAAACTCATCAGAAGGGCATCTCAGGCCCACTCCGTATCATTCCAAACTTGAAATTTGAGCTTCCTTTCCTCCCATGGCCCTCCCCCTTCTTTCCCATTAAATACAATTAAAAACAAAAACACCTGACAGTCCCAAACAGCCCAGAGCCTTTAGTCCCAAGGTTTCCTCAAGCTTCAATACATTTTCAGAATGAAAATCCCTCTAAGCCAGAATAAGGAGTCAGTTTATGGATGAGTTTGTTATAATGGTTACAAACACTAACTTTAGTGTCAGAATCTGAATTAACTCCCAGATCTGCCATTTACTAGATGTGTAACAACCTTCTTTGTACAAGTTAATCATTCTTCAAGAATCATAAATCCCTCTTCTGTAAAGGAGGGAAATAACAGTAACTATCCATGAGTTACTATGAGCATGAAATGAAAATGCAAAGAGCTCAGTGGTTGGCACAATAGGTGAGCATTCAGAAAATGTGAGCTATTATTACCAGCTCCCTTCCCCTAAACTCTAAAAGCCTAGAGTTCAATTCTTACTGCATAGGAAATCATATTTGCTTACAGGGTGCCTCCCCAGCTACACTCTCCGTTCTTCAAGGAGAGGGACCAGGTTTTATTCGTCCTTGGTATGCCACAGCAAACTGTATTTTTTTTTTTTTACGACATAGTCTTGCTCTGTTACTCAGGCCGGAGTGCGATAGCACAATCTTGACTCACTGCAATCTTCGCCTTCCAGGTTCAGATGATTCTCTCACCTCAGCTTCCCAAGTAGCTAGGACTACAAGTGCGTGCCACCGAGCCCAGCTAATTTTTTTACATTTTTAGTAGAGATGGGGTTTCACCATGTTGGTCAGGCTGGTCTCAAACTCCTGACCTCAAGTGATCTGCCCACCTTGGCCTCCCAAAGTGCTGAGATTACAGGCGTGAGCCACCACACCTGGGGGCAAACTGTATTTTCAAAGAATGCCCATCTCACAGCACTCTTCCCAACCATGAAGGTCTATGTCCCCTCCTCTTAAAATTCAGCAGGCTCTGGGACTGTTTTGATGAATACAATAAAGCAGAAGTGACACCGGAATTAGACCTTCAACATATGAATTTGGGGGCAAGAGTTGGGGGGGTGCCCATAAATAATCCATCCACGGCAACGGGTAAATAATAAAACCTCATTGTAATACTGTCCTAATAACAAATGAGATAATCCGTATAAAGCACCAATCTGGAGTAAAAATTCAATAAATATTTGCTACCACCATAATCTTCCTATTCTTCACATCCTGGCTTAAATATCGCCTCCCCAGAAAGGCTGTTCCTGACTACTTTATAAAATATGGGCCCCTTTTCATTCTATATCATGCACTTCTTTCTCCTCATAGCACCTGCCACAATTAGGTAGACGGCTAGTTTATTGTTTTCCTCTCCCCAGTGTAAAGTACATGAGGGCAGAACTTTGTCTTGTTCAGCGCAATAATCCCAACACTGAAACTCAATAAACAAACTAAAGAAATAAGTGAATTAAGAAACTGGAAACTGCAATATATTCAAATAGGTACGTTACACGGTATAAGGGAAATCCGAGCAAAACTGGTTCAGGAACAGCGAAAAAACCACCTTGACTGGTGGAGAAGGTTTGTATCACAAAAGTACTTGGGTGGGAAAAGCAGGCTGCGGCTGCACTTGAGAAAAATTAGGAGGATGGATAAAGAGAAGGACAAAAGATTGGCAATGCTTTACGATGAATATGTAGCAGCGGGTTCTGTGGAATGGGGTTAATAGCAGTGCTTATCCCTAAGCAACACTGTCAAAGTTAAATGAGATACGGCATTACAAAGCACTTAACGGAACTGCTTGTCCACCACACTGCGGGTGATCAGTGTTAGCTGCTACTAAGGTTACGATTCTGCAAGGAGAATAATTTAAACAGATCAAGTACTGACGGCCCCTCACGAAGACTTGGGGGAAATAACCACACATCAGGGGCAAAACCAAACAGAGAAGCAGCAGACAGCAGGGAAGCAGGAGAACTAGGCTAATATGGTGTCAAGAGGTCCAAAAAAAGTAAGAATTTCAGGAAGTAGGGAGGGGACAGACAAGAGATGGATCAACAGAAGGCTGCCTGAGCAAAGTTAAAAGGACCGACGGGTTGGGAAGTCACGGGGATGTCAGCGCGCGCCGTTCGTAGGGAGGGAGAGACTGGGAGAGCGAACGCGGAGTGAAAGAACAGAACAAGTCAAAATGGAACGAGAACTAGGGCGACAGGGCAGAAACGGGCAAGTGACACGGTCCAAACGCCACTTTTTCAAGTGATTCCGCAATCCTTTGATGTGGGATTTAAGAAAGCTTAAGAAGGAAAAGGGCTTCTGCAGCATCTAAAACGCACCCCTGGAAGAGGGAGGGCATTGCCCTGTCACCAAGAGAAGCTGTGGAAACGTCGGGAAATGGCATTCGCGCAATCGAGAACTGCTCTCTCGACCTTGCATTCTCCCTCTAAAGCCGCTATCTAACGAATGCGCCTTTCCTGCGGCCAGGCACCCAGAACTCGCCTGAGAAAGTAGGGCTTGGCGTAGAACTTGAAATCGGACCCCTCAAAGTAGACGTCGAACTCGGAGACCCGGGCGTAGGGCACGCGGATGGCGATGGTCAGGAAGTCCGGATCCTGGCTGAGGTCGAACGCCGGGGTCAGCATCGCCGCACCGGACGCAACAGCCGGCGCCACTCGCTCTCACTGCCGCCGCGTTCCCGCCACGCAAACTCTACAATTCCCCACGCGCAGGAACCCGCGGTGTGAGCCACAGAGCTTCCGGCTCGAGGCGGAAGTGCTCTCGCGTGGGGCAGGAAGTCCCGCCCCACGCCGATCTCCACGGAGACGGGACGCCGTTCGAGAAGAGGTGGAACTTTCGAAACCGCCGGGAGGAGAAAGGACGTGGCGAGTGGTGCCTGGGCGCAGGCGTTGGACCGACCGGATGACTAGCAACCAAGCCTTTTGCGAGGTTTTTAGAGATGATTTTAACAACACTGGCTTGGCAGGTGGACAGACGTGCGTTTGAATCCCTTCCTGGCCACAACTTCCCAGCTGTAAGACCTTGGGAAAGTTACAAAACCTCTCTATATCTTCTGTGAAACGAGGATGATACGAGAACCTGGCCCCATAGAGATGCTGTGAGGGTAGCATGAAGTTGTGCATGTAGAACTCTAATAACGAACTTGGCAAGTTGTCAACGTTTGATGTGCTGAAGTAGTCACCGCAGTAGCCACAGCAGCACCGTTACAGTGGTTTCCCTTAGTCCTCACCTGCCTTATTAACAATTCCTCTTACACTTTCCCTTTCCTCCCTCTCTCTTTCCACTTCTCTTTTTCTGCAGCTTTCTCTCTCATTCTTAACCGCTTATTTGAAGAGTTTTCTCTTTAACAGATCATCCATCCCACTAATCTCATCTAATCCACGCTGCAAACTCTAAAGAAAACGACTCACAGAGGTTAAGAGTATATTTTATAACCATGCATTTTACAGTGATTAGAACTCAGAACGTTTGACTCTTACACCGTGTCGGTGATTGCATTCACAAATTAAGATCCCTCTGTATTCCCCTTCTTTCCTTTTTCTCACTCTTGTCCTTACACTTGTCTGAGGACATCTTTTCTGTGTTTTTTTTTTTTTTTTTGTTTTGTTTTCCTACTTGTCTTCCCTGTATTTTCTCCCCTTGGAGTGTGCCCCTTATACTCTCTCCGTGCCTCTCCCACTAGTCTCCCTCTTCCCCCACATATTCCCTTGGTCTTTCCACACATGTCGTTTCCTGTTATTCCACCACTAATTAGAATAATCCAGTTGCGGTATTTATTCCATGGTTTTAAGTATCAGTGGAAAGGAGATGAAAGTCATCTCCTAGGACAGTGGAGATAACCAGAAAACTTCAAAAGACTTTTCAATCTCCAACTGTTTTATGATTCTAAGGAAACATTGTTGAAATTTCATTAGGACTCAGAAAAAAAAAAATAACGGGCTAACATTAACTGAATACTTACTATGTGCTAGCACTGCAGCAAACCCTTTATAATGATCTCATTTTCCCTCCTGACAGCTCTATGAAGTAGGCGTTATATATTCCCTTGGCTTGCACAGGATCTCACAGTTAGTAAGTGGTGCAATGGGAATTGAAACCCAGGTGAGTCTGATTCCTAGGCCCAGGCTCTACACTATTACGGAGTTGACTCCCTCTGTTATTACCACCTACTTCCTTTGTTTCACATTCTAATGCCAAGCCTGCCTGCTTTAGACCATACTGAGCCTTACAAGTAGTAACAGGCACTCAATATTGACAATGAATTGATGCCAACTTGGATTTAGTAAAGCTCTCAAAAGGTCCCTTGAGATAGGCCTTTGACTAAACTATTCCAAGTTAGCTTCTTTACAAAGAATCTTGGCCGGGTGCGGTGGCTCACGCCTGTAATCCCAGCACTTTGGGAGGCCCAGGCGGGTGGATCACCTGAGGTCAGGAGTTCGAGACTAGCCTGGCCAAGATGGTAAAACCCCGTCTCTACTAAAAATACAAAAATTAGCTGGGCATGGTGGTGTGCACCTATAATCCCAGCTACTCAGGAGGCTGAGGCAGGAGAATCCCTTGAACCCAGGAGGCAGAAGTTGCAGTGAGCCGAGATTGCGCCGTTGCACTCCAGCCTGGGTGACAAGAGTGCAACTCCATCTCAAAAAGAAAGGAAGAATCTTTACATCTACCATGGGGCCTCATTCCTGTAGGTCACAAGCATTAATATTTTTAAATTATTAATGCCAGAGAATCAACTGAAACAAGCTATGCTATCCATGAGGAAACTCTAATTGAAAGCACTTTGCAAACTACAGCTGTGCATTTCCTGGGTACTTTATTATGTGTCTGGCAACACACACACACACAGGACTGCAATACAGAAAAACAGACGACATGGTTCAGTGCTGCTCTCATTATAAGAAATATATATTGCATCTGTGAAACCACAAAATACTGATAGTTTCAAGTATATAACAAAGTTTTGTTGTTTTGGGTTTCTGTTGGTTTTTGTTTTCTTACAAGCAACAGTTTTCTTATTTTTGCATTTCTAATTTGTGGTAAATATAAGTTATAGATTCATTCTCACTTAAGAACATAAAGTTCCTTTTGGCTGCCATGCAACTTTGGTTCTTTCTCCTTCCTCAGAGGCAGTCCTTGTAGCTATCACTTCAGACCCATTTCTAATTCTACATCCATTTCTATGGACCCTGATGCCTTGTGTTTAGACCCACTTTATGTGGGCACATTCTCACACTATAAATGTAATTCTGCAACATGCTTTTTTTCCTACTTTGGTTCATTTTTGAGACATAGCTATATTGATTTATAGATCAAATTGAGTTTCTATTTCTGGATACAGATATTGCTTGACAATAAAGACATTTTAATATTTTAAATTAGCTCTGGTTTAGAGGGGAGAAACAGGAATGCAATTTTTCATCATTTTTGAGCATTCAAATGTTGCAGTATTTTTTATCTTTTCATTTTCTGAAAGCTTACTTTTGGATGGCCTACCACTATTTTAAAAATAGTTTTTTCTTCTGGCCTACAGAGGACATAAAATAAAATAATAAGATAAAGTTTTTTCCATGACCAACTTATTTAGGACAAGTGTGTAACCCATCATCTTTCATTATTTTAAATTGGCCCCTCCTCTGATCTAACAACCCTGATTGTGATCCATAAGCTTCCAAATTAAATGTTGAATTAAAAATGGTTTTTATAAACAATTGCAATGTGAGCTTTATTACCAAGTTCTATTGTTAGAAGTCTTTTAATGGTGAAATACTCCTTGTTTCCAGAAGGTGGCATGCATGTAGGTGATTAAAACAATGTTATCTCAAAGAATGGAGTTTTAACCTATGTTGAAAAATAGCTTCCTGAATAAGTTGTTTATATCTCTAGTTCATTCTCTGAGCCATTTTGGGGAAGTGGAATCTGACACATTACTTGCAAACTACATCTTAACCACTGTATTTTGGCATACAACCATTATTTTGGCATACATCTTTTCAGTCTCCTATTCATAAAAGTATGGGAAGTATTTTCAACAAAATAATGTAATAATCTGGATTTGCTTTCCTCACTTAATATAGCATTACAGGCTGGGCATGGTGGCTCAGGCTTGTAATCCCAGCACTTTGGGAGGCCTAGGCGGGTGAATCACTTGAGGTCAAGAGTTTGAGACCACCGTGGCCATCATGGGAAAACCCTGTTAGTACTAAAAATACAAAAAAATTAGCCAGGTGTGGTGGCACCACCTGTAATCCCAGCTACTCGGAAGGCTGTGAGGCAGGAGAATCCTTTGAACCTGGGAAGTGGTGGTTGCAGTGAGACGAGATTGCTCCATTGCCCTCCAGCCTGGGTGATAGAGCAAGACTCCATGTCAAAATATATCTATATATAATATATGGCATTACAATATTTCCATTTGACTACATTTTTGTCAAGAATAGGTTTATCCATAGTTGTACTCTTTGTACTTTTTTTTTTTCCCCAGAGACAGGGTCTTGTGCTGTTTCCCAGGCTGGAGTGCAGTGGCAGGATCATAGCTCACTGCAGCCTCAACCTCCTAGGCTCAAGCAATCCTCCCACCTAGCCTCCCGAGTGGCTAGGACTACAGGTATGTTTCACCACACCCAGCTAACTTTTTTTTTTTTTTTTAGTAGAGACGGGGTCTTGCTATGTTGCAAAGGCTGGTCTCAAACTCCTGGCCTCAATCGATCTTCCCACTTCAGCCTCCCAAAGCACCGGAATTATAAGAGTGAGCCACCACTCCTGGCCTAGTGTTGTAACTCTTAAAAACAGAATTGAATATGGTGATGATTCATTTTAACATTTTAAGAAAGGAAAAAAATAAAACTAATACTAGGATTACAAAACTAGGATAAAAATATGAAAGTTAGAATACAAACTAGATAACATTTTGAAGTTTGAAAAAATCCTTTTGTATAACAGTGGTAATACAATGGGATTAGATATCATTAGTTTTTTATTTAAATTTATTTTATTTTAGATTCGGGGGTTCATGTGCAATTCTGTTACGTGGATATATTGCATAATGTTGGGGTTGTCCTTCTAGTTAGCCATCACCCAAAGAGTGAACACAGTACCCATTAGGTAATTTTTCAGCCCTTACCCTTCTCAGTCTCCCACTTTGGAGTCCCCAGTGTCTACTATCTCCATCTTCATGTTCATGTGTACCCATTGTTTAGGCTCCTACTTATAAATGAAAACTTACAATATTTGATTTTCTATTTCTGAGATTTTCTATTTCTGAGATTTTCTATATCTATTTAAGATAATGGCTTCCAGCTCCATCCATATTGCTGCAAAGGGCTTGATTTCATTATTTTTTATGGCTGCATAGTATTTCATGGTATACATATACCACTTTTTTATTTTATCTATTTATTTATTTGAGACAGAATCTCACTCTGTTGCCCAGGCTGGAGTGCAGTGGCACAATCTCAGCTCACTGCAACCTTTGCCTCCTGGGTTCAAGCAATTCTCCTGCCTCAGCCTCCCGAGTGGCTGGGACTACAGGCATGTACCACCATGTCCAGCTGATTTTTTGTATTTTTAGTAGAGATGGGTTTCATCATGTTGGCCAGGCTGGTCTTGAACTCCTGACCTCAAGTGATCCACCTGCCTCGGCCTCCCAAAGTGTTGGGATTATAGGCGTGAGCCACTGCACCCAGCTACCACATTTTCTTTATCCAGTCAACCACTGATAGACGCTTAGGTTGATTTCATGACTGCTATCGTGAGTAGTGCTACAGT